GGAATTGGGTTATTCTGGATGAATGCTGGAAGCTGTACTGAATTTTTAAGGACAAAGAAGTGAATCAAGTCATCTTGCACTTGCTTCTTATCTTTTGTTCATTTTACATTTGTACTTCTACAATTATTCAAAAGATCTTTAAGGAACCTCTCCGTGTTTTCCAAGTTCAATCATATCTGCTTTCTTTTGATAGAGTCAGATTTTCATTCCATACCACAAAACAAGTTTAAATATTTGAAATTTGTTTGAACTAATTAATATCTAAAACTGGATTGCAATGCCTTCACCTATCTCAATACTGAAAGGAAGACCTAACTCCCAAGTGAGTGATTCTCTTGGTTAATACTTTGCTTTGTCAAATCATTCAGTTTTCAACCTTTGTAATCCAGTTCCTACTCAATCCACTTCTAATGAGTTTTATGAATAAAACTTTCATAGTTCATGCTATTACACTGAAATATATATATATATATATATATATATATATATTTCATCAGTTAATTCTAGAACCTAACTAAACAGCAACCAAGTCTCTCTGAATTCCCTTGCCAGACTGCCAACATCTTTCATGATTACTCAAGTGATCATTATCTCCTAGACTTACATGGTTCTTTTTCCCATTTGTTTATTGCATTTAGATAAAATACAAACTCAACTATTTTTACAAGCTTATTTTCCTCCATTGCTGTGAGGTGTCACATGGCTGACACCAACAAAAGATCTACAAACTGCGGTACGGAGTTTCAGAGTAAATCCTGAGGGGATTTGACTGACCTCGTCAGATACAAAAGTTACATTTCTTGTTATATAGGTCTTGCTTTACCTTGGTCTTTCATCCAGCAGAAAAGTATCAAAATGAAGTATAAATGTAAAGCCATATTAATATGCTGAGCTGTAAAAGGCTCAAGTCAGCAACTTCTAACATTGCCAGTCCTACGGATAACCCACTACTATGATGCACGACTGGACTATATTGTATTATTTTGCTGAATTCATGCACCTACAATATATGAATGGCAATGGTATGCCCATCTCCGACAAAAGTAAACAAAAAAGGGGGATATAAATGAAGGACCATTTT